TCGTCAGCTAAGCGTTTTGTTCTGGAGATGAGTGTCTTGGCTACGGAGTTGATCTGTGCTGGGTGGTGGTGTGAGAGTGCGTGCAGATAGCGGTTTGTGTGTGTTTTCTTCTGGTAGATGGTGTGTCCTAGGGAGCCATTGGATTTCTTGTAGACTAGGACATCCAGGAAGGGAAGTTGGTTATTAGCTTCTGTTTCCACGGTGAACTGTATTTTGGGGTGTAGGCTGTTGAGGTGTGTGAGGAAGTTGTCCAGTTTTTCTTTCCCATGTGGCCAGATTATGAAGGTGTCGTCTACGTACCTGAGCCAAAGTTTGGGTTTGTGATCAGATTTTTCTAGAGCTTGGGTTTCAAAGTGTTCCATGTAGAGGTTTGCAATGACAGGTGAGAGAGGTGATCCCATGGGTGCTCCTTCTATTTGTTTGTATTTTTGTCCATTGTAGATGAAGTATGTGTTGGATAGGCAGTGGTTGGTAGGATCTAGGATGTGCTTGGGGGGATTATATTTGTTTTGGATAGCTGTCAAGGCTTCTTTGATTGGCACTTGGGTGAAGAGGGATATGACATCGAAGCTCACGAGTAGGTCATTGGGCTGTACGTTTTGTTTCTTTATGATCTCTATGAACTGGAATGAGTTTTTGACGTGTGAGGTGATGGATTCTGCATAGGGTTGTAGTTGTTTGGCGAGAAATTTGGCTAGGTTTTGTAGAGGTGAGCCTATGGAGCTGACTATGGGTCTAAGTGGGGTTCCTTCTTTGTGTATCTTGGGAGACCATACACAAAGAAGGAACCCCACTTAGACCCATAGTCAGCTCCATAGGCTCACCTCTATTTGTATATGTATACAAAAAAAATTTTCTGACAAAGAGTTAAAGAATTAAATTAGGAGACTAAGATGGCCATTTCGAGCTCGTTCTGCTCTCTTCAGTTAGCCGCACCCTTTATGGGAATCGAACCTGGGCAGTTTACATACTAGGCAGTGATTTAACCACCAAGCCACAGGCTTTCCTCCCCTCTTTGCCAGCCGAGTCAAGGGAGTATATACAGGAAGTTTTTCAGACAGACCGGTCTGATTGACATTTTAACTGCTATACTGCAGTTTTACTTTTTACAATATCTTTTGCCTTGCAGCCCCCCAACTAGGGGCGTTAAGCAGGCTCAAGTCGCAACTGTGAAACATTTAAATCCAAATTTCTTTTTCTGACAAAGAGTTAAATATATATATATATAATATATATATAATAAATTGAATAAACAGTTTTTAAGACCATTTCCTGAACATATTGCAGTTTCATGTGATTACACTGAATCTTATCCACTGTACAAACTCTGTGTACTCTGGATTCATGCAAATTATTACTTACATTATTTTTCTGCAAGATTTGTAGTGCTTTATTGACGTTGTTCAAGGCATGAACTCTAGTGGAGCCCTTTTCTTTCCCCTATAAATATAAATAGCTATTTCAATTATTTTTGTTTAAAAAATCATTCACGTACTTAATATGTTTATGACAGAAAGCTTACACCATCTTTGTAACAACCAACAAGAGCTTAAAAACATAAATCCTTATTTTAGTAATATATTTTCACTATTGCATTTAACGGTGACTATATTGAATCAGGGGAGTGGTAAACTGAAATCAGTTTTGTTCATTCCATTGTAAGTTTGAATCATACTAACAGTTTTGTCAGTTCCTTACATAAAAATGATTGAGTGACATTGAAAAAAAATAGAGAAAAACTATATTTCCGGTTTTACACATGCAAACTACGATTAGATACAGAGAATTCTGTCTACATTATGTTAATAAAATATGATTGTATATTTTTTTAGGAAAACCAACAAACCTACTGTAGTTTTCAAACATATGTTCATCTTAATTATATTTAATTTTTTTATAAATATTTTTAATCTATGAAAAGTCCTTCCTAGTATTTTATGCATTTTGTTGTATATAAGACAATCTTCTTATTCTGAATCAGACCAAAATAAAGAAATGTAACAGTCAATAATGATGAAAATAACTGTTCTCCCTTATTTTGGAATATGCATATGTTTAGCTATAACAATAGAGTTCACTAGAGGCAGTTGAAATCAGTTTGAACTTTGAAATGGGAATATTTTATAAATTTCATCATCCAATTCTATATATTGAATACATGGATAGTATATTTTTATCTAAAAATCAGAAATAATATATATAATATAAATCTTTTATAAATATTTTTAGACATATTTACATGATATCTCCATGTTTTTGTTCACTATACAATGAAATACATTAATAAAAGGACAGTAATAGAAAATGCTGTCACTGCAAGTTTCCATGAAGGGAGGACAATATGTGAAAACTTTTGGGGCATTTGCTAGGAAAAGGAAGAGAATATCATAAAGAAATTTAAAACATCAGCAACTTACACAAATTGCAATATATATGTTTATAAAATAGTATAACATAGTTACAGGTACAAGATCCACAAATGCTAATTTTACAATGAATTTTATATGAAGAAGAATTGCAAAGTTATTTGAGGTAGTAGATAGGTATATACATACAAGTTTTTGGCGTGTAAGACCTTCCAGGAGCTCCAAAAGCTTTCGACCATCTTGCAAATCTCTGAAGAGATCTTCAATTGGATGAATACCAAACTAAAATGAGAGGAAATTTATTAGACTGTATGCTAAACTATTAAGAAAATATTATGTCAGTTGCTCATACAGAAAGAAGTTTTCTATAAGAAAACTGGCTTTTCACTTTTAGCAACAAAATATGTTATTTTGTTGCTAAATTTATGAAAAACATCAGGTATAAGATTCTCTCACAAACTAGGTAGATTAAGACAAAAGAACAAACTGTACATTTCTCATGAGATACTGTTCTATAATCTGCAATACTGCCTGTTTCATTTATGTTGCACTTTCGAACTCATGAATTTAAAAAATATTTCACAAATGAATACTATCTAGTTTTCTATTCCCATATAGCCAGATAATCTTTCCTTTAGCAATATATTTGTTACATCGCTTCTGATATACTTACCCAGGAATTAAACAATGAATATATTCTTATCATTGCTGATACCAGAATGGAGTATGACAAATTTCCATCTATGGCAGCATCTATCAATGATCTCTTATACTATTATTCATGAATCTATTGTACAAGTAATTCTTTAAGGACAGAAGTTGTAACTTCTGAAGATGAGTTTCGGTGGTGTAAAACAGGGTTCCCCAACCCCCGGTCCATGGACCGGCACTGGGCCGCGGTATGCCAGCAACCGGGCCACGCAAACAAGTGAAGCCCCATCCGCTGGATGCAGGCAGCACACAAAACCACGCCCCCTCTGGTCAGTGGAAAAATCTTTCTCTACAGAACTGGTCCCTGGTGCCCAAAAGGTTGGGGGCCTCTGATGTAAAAGACATTAGGGTTTCTCTCACAAAAGTCTGACATAGAAGCAAGACTGTGCTATATACTCATAAAATTAAAAAAAAAATCCTGCTATGGTAGCAAAGCCAAACAATAAGAACACAGAGGTGTTTTGAAAGAAAACTTTTCAGGAGTAACTTGTCTTGTTGTAGAGAAGGCAAGTATTTATGGATGAGATCTACAGACTAGACCAGTGGTGGCGAACCTATGGCACGTGTACCAGAGGTGGCACTCAGAGTCCTCTCTGTGGGCACACGTGCCGTTGCCCCAGCCTTGCCTTCCCCTGTGACCCCCTCCTCACCAGCAGCCCCCCTGGAGGAGAGTTGCCCCCGAGCGTGGCCCACGCGGAGCAGCACAGCCAAGGATATGGCAGTCAGGCAGCATAGACAAGACTCTGCCCTCATGCCCCATTGCACACAGTTGATGCTGCAGGGTGCAGGCAGAGGGCGTGGCTGCCATGGCGCTGCTGGGCTGCCTGAGTGATCTGCAGCAGGCCCTGGAGGCAGTGAATGGCCCTGCAGGCAGGCAGGGTGGGGGCAGGGCAGGGGGTGGAGTGGGGGCAGGGCCAGTTTTTGGGCACTCGGTCTCTAAAAAGCTTGCCATCACTGGACTAGACCGTGAAAGCCTTCACTTAAACAGCATCCTCCTGAAATATTTCGTACCATGGTTCAAGTGATAGCTGCTTATATCTTACATTAGTATTTTTCCTTAAAAAACCCTTCTGATTTAATTTAATAACATATGAATCATCATAGAGGAGGTTAATATTATAGAGAAAAATAAGTATTTTCACCAGAACATTTAATTACAATATGTTACAAGTCAGTCTTTTTAAAAAAAGATATTGAGATGCTTAACACACAGTCTTAATGATCACCTATATACCAGAAAACCTTCCCAATTCTGCCAGCATTCGTTATAATAGTAAGCTTGCTATTTGTCTGGTGGTGAGGTAATTAAGTCACCTTTCAGAAACAGATTGAATGTCTTCTGCAGATCAACAATCAATAAATCTTTAGTAGAAAAGGTTCAGAAGAGACAAGAAATATGTTGCATTTTCAAGGTTATTGGAAAGTATGCATTCACACGTGAGAAGATTTAGGAGAAACAAATTAATACATGCAATGTTATTTTATAAGCATGCACCGAATCCAGAGATGCCTTCATCACAATAGCTAATAATATGCGACTTTTTTTCACTATAACTTTTGTAATGTAAATATTAGGTAAAACTGAGCATTAAAATATTTCATTTATATGATACATATGATAGATAGACAGACAGATATAGAGATATTATAATGTATATAAATAAAACATCAAAGCAGGGCATTTTAAAATTCATGGTAACTTTTCCTGTGCTTCAGGCAAACCAAATGTATGGGTGCATCAGAAACCTCTCCACAGGATGCATTCTTCAACGTTTTACTGAACCTGGTAATAATAAAGTGATCTGCTGATGGGAAGTGGATCCCATTCAAATTGAGCAACCTTTAGAATACATAAATTATTTATTTCATTATTATTTATTACTATTACAATGTCTATGGAAATTCTCAGTCATCCAGGTCATAGTTATTCCAAAGATGCTTTTCCCGAGGCAACTGGAGTTTCTTGTTTTTCTTTGAAGACATTTCGTTTCTCATCCAAGAAGCTTCTTCAGCTGAAGAAGCTTCTTGGATGAGAAGCAAAATGTTTTTGAAGAAAAGCAAGAAAGCCCAGTTGCCTCATGAAAAAGCATCTTTTGGATACTATTACTGTGGTTGGTTGTATGGTCAGCCAAATCTTTAGACAGAATTTGGCATTTTTATCTCCCTGTTAGGTTCTTCCAAAGAACCTGAGAAAGAAGAAGTTGTTTGATGGTGTTCAGGGTATTGTAGAAGGATATAAACTCTTCCAAGTAAAGCTGCCTGTCACTACTGACTGATAGTAATTTTGTCAATGCCAATGATGTTCAAGTGATGCTCCAGTTCTTTTTAGATTGTACCCAAGACACCTATTACTATTGATGCTACCTTTGCTCTCTCTTGCCAGAGTTGTTCTATTTCTATTTGCCTTTATATTTTATGATTTTGTCCAGTTCTTTCTCTTCTATTTTGCTGCCCTCGGGTACTGCAACCTCTCTTATTGAGACTTTTTTGTCTTTCTTATCTTACAATAATTAAGTCTAGGATGTTATATGGTAGGTTTGAATCTGTTTGAATTTTAAAGTCCAGGAGCACTTTAGTGTCTTCATTTTCTCTTATTTGTATATTTTGTGTTGCCACCGGTTGTTGCTTGAAGACAAATGGTATTTATTGCACATATTGCAATGCACCATAGTTGCTACTTTGTCATGCCATTGTTTGTAGTCAGTCTGAGCAAGCTTTTTGCAGCAGCTAACTAGGTGGTCCACTGTTTTTTCAGCTTCTTTGCAGAGACAGCATCTATTGTCTGTTTCTCTCTCTCTCTCTCTCCTCTCTCTCCTCCCCTCTGTATATGTATGCGTTTATACACACACACATACATGCATACCATGTAATACTTTGCCTTGCTCTGTCTCTTTTCTATTCTTTATTTGGTCTTCATTGTAGGCCAGTTGGCCTCTCCTGTATTCAGTAAGCCTTCTTGGTGTACTTGCTTCAGTTCATCTTCTTCACTCATCTTCAGATATTCTTCTAATGTCCTTTTTATTTCTTAAATTATCTGCTCTACTTGCAACATTCCAGAACCACTATGCTTCTTGGTAAGTAAAGTCTGTGAACATCATTGTGTGAATGAAGGGCACGATTCCTTCTCATTATTTTATTGGTCTTCCTATCCAGGCTTTTAGTTCTGCTTGAGTCCAGTCCACTATTCTAGGTCTGTATCTAATGACTAGAAGTGTCCAATATCAATTGCTTTGATGGCATTTCCTCCACTGTGTTCGGACTTTAAGTCCTGACTCTTATGAAGTATTCACTGCTAACCTTCTTTTTGACTCCAATATGCTTAATGTCACTTTGAAGGATGCCCAAATTTTTGACGTGATCTTCTTTCTCAAGACTTGACATTATTTCCATGGGACATCTTGATTCCTTTAGTTAATGAAGATCTTTCTCCTGTTGATATTAATGATGGTACATTTATCCAGTCTATATTTCATTGTAGTGTCTTGGCTGTATATATGGATAGTGTTGAGCAGAAATTCTATTTCAAATTGTGCTTTTCCATACAGCTTCAAATTATCCATATAAAGAGACCACCTGGCAGATTTTTTTGCTATTTTTGGTTATAATTGTATTTGGTTATAATTGTAGTCTTTATTTCAGTTATATAAATTAAGCGTTAGCCCTAGGTCAAGAATGATGTAATACATTCCAGCCAAAGTTCAGGTTTTTTTAGTTGCTTAAATTATGTAGACAGAATCTGGACAGACTAAACCTATATTTCCCTATCCTAACACATACATCCTGGGAGATTCTAGGGAGTAGTTATTCTAAATCTTTTTTTCTTCCCAAGATCAAGCTTTGGACTGGTTTGTCTCTTATCTCACACCTTCCTTGGAATGCACTCTCTTCTTTCTGGGAACCTGCTATGTTACTGTAGTTAATTACATTATAAACACATTCCATCACACTAAGTAATACAAGACTGCTAGATTGTATTATAAACTTCAGAGTATATTCACTGATGTTCCAAATGAGTCCTCTGTTTTTGTCCCATCAATAAGTTTCTCTGTTGTTTCTTTATTGCTGGATTCTCATATTACCAATAAATTATTTAGATCTTTTTCAGAGAGAATATGTGCAAGAGTAAACATACCAAATGCTACAGCTATTTCTATTCCAAAGGTCAACCAGAATTTATTTATTTTTTACCAAAAAATATTTGGATGCACAATGTTAGAGGAATGACCATGCATTTTCCATCCTGGAAAGGATTTGGATACATGACCAAAATAGTTGAACTGAGAAAGTGCTGCATATTTTAGCTAATATGGTAGGGTTTTTTAAATTAAAGATTTGTTGATACTAATGCCAAGAGACCAAAGAAGAATAAGAAAAGTATGTTCCCTTGAGTGTAAGAGAGCTTTAGTCAGTTTTAGTAACAGGATTGTAAAAATATCAGAGATTTATGCTTTTGTTACTTTTATAACTTTCAGTTGTTTTATCTGATGTTTAAAAATGTTTCAAAAAACATTTGCAGCAAAAGAGGACATGCAATTGGTGTGTATGCTATGTGATTTTATAAGCTCATTTTA